GATATATTCCTAGGAGTGGGATTGCTGGTTGACAGATATTTTTGGGGGACACAATTCAGTCCATGACAGAGTGTTTGTCCAGCTAACAAGGCGCCCTCCCTGGGGAAGTGCCCACTCTGTGCCTCTGCCATGGCTGATGGGACAGGACGGACCCTTACGCCAGCCAGAGTCTCCTTCCTGGGATTTTTGGCATCAGGATTAAGTGACCCCAGGCATATGGCTAGAACAAATATGTAAGCTTTCTGGGCCACCATACACTGCTTGTTCTTTGAAAAGCAAGTATCGCAGAAAAAGCCCAAGTGCAAATTGAGAGAAAAGTGCAGTAGGTGTGCAGAGATGAGAAAAGCAGTGGTGAGAGACAGATCCAGAACATGGCAAGGGTCCCCAGCTGCTTTCCGCTTCCCAACTCCAGTCCCAGGAGCTGGCTGTGTGTCTGTCCTGGAGATTCACAACACCCCTATGTCCTTAAGGTATTCACCCGTTTAATATGTTTAAGCTGGTTTGAGCTGGTTTCTGAAACTTTCAATCTGAATCCAAACTAATAAACTGAGGTTATACTACATACGGTTAAATCTTTACCCACGAACACACACAACCGATTTTCACCAATACTTTTCTTAGGTCTTTGTGGGAAGACAAATGTCAAGATTCCCAAACCTTTAAGAGTCACACAGCAAGGGAAAAAAGGAAGTCATTCAGACTCTTGAAAAAACCGTAGTAACAGAAAAAAGAGAGAGAGAGAAAGACGAAAAGGTGAGAACTGAATGTTTTCCAAGAAGTACCAAGAGGTTATGGAAGACAAGTGGTTATGATCATAACCTATGAATTATAAAACATACACACCAATCCAAATGAGTTACTTATCTTCACCATATGGACTAAAGTTGAACTGTTGGCAAACTAGCTGAATTCAGCTGAACCCTGGGTGGGAATGTATTCATGCAGCTCACTACTGACACATTGAGGTAGGTCTATATATTCACCTAACTCTGCTGCTTGTTGCACAAAAGTGTGCCTATTGATCTTGAGGGAAAAGTGCTTTTGAGAATCCTTCCTTCGACACATGTCCATGACAACTTCAGGAAATGCTGCACTGGGGAGTAATACTACTTGACTGGGTTCTTCTTCCCTTTTGTCCACTTTATATGTGTGTGTGATTTAATTTTAAAGTGTAAATCGAAAGATAAATCCTTTGTATCCTGATAAAAACCAGTTTTTAAGGCAGCCATAGCCCAAGGTCCCGCTTGCCTTTTTTTTTTTTCCAAACTTGCTGCTTGTTATGAATTGAATTGTGTCCCCCCAAAATATGTGTTGTAAATCCTAACCCTATACCTGTGGTTATAATCCCATTTGGGAATGGCTTTTCTTTGTTATGTTAATAAGCAGTATTATCACAGGATGTGTCTTAAATCAATCCCTTGGGCGATATGAAAGAGCAGATTAAGCAAGCAAGCAAGCAAGCACAGAGATAAAGATAAATGCCACATGATCACCAAGGAACCCAGGAACAGGAGCTGAAAAGAGACAAGG